GAGAGAGAGAGAGAGAGAGAGAGAGAGAGGTTGAAGGGCAAAAGGTGAGGAGATAGATCAAACGACGTCAACGGAGTAGGTAGTAGTTTAAGGAGTTAATAAAAGTTTTAATTGGTTTATCTAGCGTTTTACTTGACAATCGAAGGATCCCAACCACTACATATATCTAATACATATATTATTACTAAAACTATCATTGTATTAGAAAATATAAACAAATTTATTTGCTATTGTTTAAATTGTTTCTGTTGGAAATTGTAAAAGTTCCCAATAAAACGCGTCAGCAGCTATCTACACTAAATATATAGATATGTGAAATGTACAATAGGCTCTAAGTTGTTTTTTGCTATTTTTGCCCAAAATATCTTTCTTAATATTATGAACTTAGCTTATATACTTTAAAGGACAATAGAAAACTATACCAGGGTAAGGACAATTAAGTAACAAATGCTGTGTGGTAAGAGTGGGTGGGGCAAATGAGTGGGGCAAGTGAGTGGGGCAAGTGGATGGGGCAAGTGAGTGGGGCAAGTGAGTGGGGCAAGTGGGTGGAGCAAGAGAATCGAGCAAGACAGTAAAACAAAAGGGTCTTACCTGGCGTGATTGCCTCCAGGTTCGACGCAAAGTTCCAACTGGCGCAGCTGCTGGCCGCATACTGCGGAAGCGCGACTCCACTATCAGAAGAAAACATATTAATTCTTATTCAAGTCATAAATACTGTGTTATATACCTTTGTTTTACAATATTTCATTTTATTTTATAGTATTTTACAAGTAAATTGTAACCTTACACCCAGTCTAGATATACTTATATTTTGACAGAGTAGCTTATGCCCTGTTTCTGTTTACAGAATTAAAAAAGTAAGCCTATAACTTCCTCAACTATACCAATTTTCATCACGATTGATTTAGCCGACCTAGATACATGTAGTATAAACATCCATCCATTTAAACTTTTAAATTTATAATATTACTAGCATTCTTCCGCGACTCCGTCCGCGTCTAATGAAAAAAGTAAGTAGCCTATGAGTTATTCCAGACTTTCGTCATATTTTCATATTTCATCGAGATCCATTCATTCGTTTAAGCTACAAACTCTAACATCCATCCATTTAAACTTTTCTTTTAATATTAATTACCGTCTTCTTGAGCCTGGCGATGGGTGCCATATTGAGTGCGCTGATGATGGCCATGAGGGAGTTGAAGTTGCCGAGGTTGAAGCACTCTCTTGCTGTTGTCACCCACTGCTCCAGCAGACGCGCACGATGTTTGCTCTTCACCGGCTGCAAACAGAACTTAACTACAGTCATATATCATAAAATATTTATTAACATAGACCAAAAGTTATCTAAATTACAATATTTTTCAGATAGCAACATCGGACGGAAGATGACCACACTGCATTTAGATGACAACACTGAACACCCCGCTTTATTTATAAGAGTACAATAATTCAGACAGTCATGTAATCATCCCTACTAATAATAATTATTAATTTTATGATAAATCAATACTAAGTGATCAATAAACTCTGGGTTCTTAATTAAGATTTTTTACCTTAACGATGTCAGTAGCAACGAGATAGCTAAGCCTGTTGAACCAGTCAGCGTAGGCCTCCAGGTTGCGTGTCGTCTTGGGCGCTGCGGGGCTCTTGGCGGATGGTGTGGCGAAGGCCTGTAGGAACTCCTCGGGGCCCACGAACGACAGCCGGTACAGCTCCACAGCGGTCAGCTGACGCGCTAACTCGACCGGCGACAGACCGAGTGTCAAAATATCTCCCTGAAATTTAATAATACGCATATCATATATCAAGTAAAATTTGTAAATTATTGTAGTTTAGTTAACACTAGCTTTCACCCGCGACTCCGTCCGCGTGGAATAAAAAAAAAGAAAGTGAGTAGCCTATGTGTTCTTCCTGACTATCCTCTACATCTATACCAAATTTCATTGAAATCTGTTCAGCCGTTTAGATTACAAACTCTAACAAACATCCATCCATCTAAACTTTCGCATTTATAATATTAGTTAGATTGGTGATAACTGTTAACTAAATTACGTTTAGTCGTATATAGAGGCCATAACTTGTTTTGCATAACTTGTGGAATAAGAAAATTGTTTTTTTCTGTACTACACCTGAATGTAAAGGTCAAGAATCTAATATTAACTAATAAAAAACAAAATTTAATATTTTTTTTACATCAACTTGTACAGACTCTTGGTCCATACTCTTTTTTGCACAGTTTGTTATTTTTTTTTTTTGTTGTATAATCCTTATAACACTAGTGAGTTCCTTTTTTTTTAATGTACATTTTTAATCCAAATTTAATATTACATGCCCTTTTTCTGCTTATTAAATATACTACATTTTGGTATACTTAGTTAAAAAACTAAAAGATGGGACTGAAACATAATTAACCCTCAATTATATTTTCATTGTACCATATGAAATTATACTAACGCAGCGAACAACAATAAATTACTAATATTATAAATGTGAAAGTTTAGATGGATGGATGGATGTTTCTTAGAGTTTGTAGCCTAAACAGCTGAATGGATCTCATTGATATTTGGCATAAAAGTAGAGGAAAGTCTGGCACAACACATAGGCTTCTCACTTTTGTTTTTTTTTTAATTCCACGCGGACGAAGTTGGGGGCGAAAGTAAGTCCTTTATAAAAAGTAATTTATTTATAAACCGTTGTTACCTGCGGCAGTTGTTCTACAGTGCAGAGGGGCGCGGGCTCCGGCAGCGCCTGTTCATACTGTTCCAGTGCAGTGAGTCGGTCCAGTAGGCGTTCCAGTGTGCGCGACACCTCCGCACGCACACCAGACATCTCATCCGACGCACACCTACACATCACCGCATCATACACTTTGGCCCACCATCACTTACTAATATTATAATTGCGAAAGCTGAACGGATCTGGATGAAATTCGACATGCATGTAGAGCACAGTCTGGAAGAACACATAGTCTACTCGATTTTGTGTTTTTTTTTTACCACGGAGTCGCGTGCGAATCCTAGTACTATTATAACTAGTAAAGACCCATGGTTATGATTCTCTTCCACACCAAATATTATAATTATTTAAAATTAACATTTAACATGGTTTATGTAAGAGCTTAAATAATTTTACACAAATGATAATAGATTTAATAGGATTTATTATAAATTTAATAAAATTAAATTTAAACAATAAAATTTAATAAATATTTTGTGTTGATTTTTATATTTTAATGGTTTGGTGCACATTTAGTCAAGTTATTTCAGTGTGCTCTCAACATATTACCATTATAGTATTAGCAGAATAAACAAGACATTATTTCATAACTTGTTTCAATCATATGTATAGAATACTGTACAAATGGATAAATCATTGGAAATGACAGCTTTCACTTCTTATTGACTCAAAAACGCTGTTACTTAAAGTTGATTCTCTTGCTATTATTAATTAAAATTCTCAATGTGACCAACAACAACCTTCAACGTTAAAATAACGAAAATCAAAGACATAAAATTGGGACTCGGGGAATTGGGAAAGTGATGAAATGTTATTTTTACATGTATTTACCTCTGTGTGATAGTCCTGACAAGCGCCATGACGCGGTCGTCGCGGAAGTCGTAGGGGAACATTCCCGTCCACTGTGTGAGCACACGCACCAGCGAGCCCATGTCTGCTAGATCCTTCTCCGGACACTCCAAGCTTTCATCCAACTTGCCCTAACATCACACACACAGTCAATACACATTCTATTCGTGCGAAACGTGTTAAGTAAAAGTGCACTATACTGACTGGTTTGTCATAATTCTTGAAATATCTCTTGCAGAGGTTAGCGAGGAGCTCATGCGGCTTAAGGAAGAGGCGCGAGCAGAGCAGGAATGTGAACGTGAAGGAGGGCGGCGCGCTGGGCCGCAGCATCTCCACCAGCGCCTCCACGCTGGCGCTCACCAGCTGCCCGTCGCGGTACTCCGTCTCCTCGCCCACGCCCACGCCCATACCCACGCCTACGCCCAACCCGCCATTACCCTGGTTCTAAACACCATGAGATATTTTAATAACAGCAACACCAGATGCATTGCCGACCTAAATAGAAAGGGGACTAATTGCACACTCCACTTCCAGATTTAAAATAATATACACATGCAATACCTGTCCAGGCTCCACTTTCTGTGCAGACATAAATGCGAGTCCTCCATTCATGACCATATGCTTGCAGCTTGACTCCGACATCAGTTTGTTGCCTCTTACCATTGAGTAGTAATCATCATTCTGAGAATTATAACATTAACAACTTAATATAATAAAACTGGACTAAAACAAAGGAACACATGAAATTGGAAATGAAACAAAGCCTATGGAGAGGTTAGAAACTTCTACGGATCCTTTAAATAGTATTAACTAAGAATATTAATACTTGCTTAATTACTATAAAAAAATCAAATTGCTACAGTAATACCAATAAGTGCTATGGTTTCCTGCTTCTCCCTTCTGAATGAGAGTGATAATCACTCCAGCCAACCCCAGTCAACCCAAAACCACAGCAACCTCTTAAAATTGCTAGCGATCTCAACAAGCCAATGTATTGTAAGTACTGAAGCATATACTGAAGTGGGTGATGCACTTACATCATAATATGACAATCCAGAGCCGTGCAGTAATGTGGGGTCAGCAGTGAGGGGCACAAGGTCCGTGGAAGAGGCTGCGGTCTCACTGACTGGAGGCACCTTCACCGAGCACCCGCTACATGACGCCTCATTAAGTTTGCTTGCGTAGTAGTACATAGCCATTCAATTCCTCGATATCTTCTAACACTACGCACCTCTTGAGAAGCTGATTTGCCCACTTTATATTAGAGTATCCATTTGTGCTTCTGTCAAATAAGATATTGAATTCTATAGAAATATGTAAGAAATTACTATGCTATCGTAAACTTAATTCATCTCGAATAAAAGTATGAACTATTTTTACATGGAAATCTTTTGCAAATTAACTATTTCTAATTCTGTGCTTTATAATGTTAAAATTATATATGTTTTGATTTTTAAATTGTGTTAAATCAAAGAAAAAACGTCTTGTTAATGCGGTTATAATTTTATAAATGTATCAAGTAAACCCAAATTTTAGAATTATTTAAAGTAAATGTAATAAACAATCACTAGTATATTCAGTCTTCAAATATTTACTTATGGTTATTTTAGTTTTCATAACAAAAAAAACAATGAAGCTAGATATGAAACGAGCAGCTTTTGAATCTTGCTTTTGTTGTTGCCAAAATATGCATTTGCATGAAGAATGATTGGCTAGCAAACATTTAAAACTAATTTTGAACATTGTAACATTTAAACACAACACATAAATAACACAAATCGGAACTGGTATAACTGCACATTTTTTGCATGTCTAAAACTCTCAAATTGTAAATGTAAAAGTAATTTTGGCATGACGGCCCAACCAGAGAAACTATCGGCTGGTAAAAATTCTAGTCTCTTAGTGGTCACCATTAGTAGCCATTAACTCATAATTAAACATTATTTTGATTAAAAATAACAAAATATGCTTTCTCTTTAACTAAAACAGTGTCAATATTCTTTTCTTTTAAAAAAGGTGTAAAATGTTCACTTTACATTGTAATAGACAATACAATGGGTTTTACTTAGAAAACTGTACTATAAATATGTCATCTAGTAATTCTCAGGTTTTTATTATTTATTTAATTAATGTATCAATTTAAAACTGTCTGACATAATATCTTCAAAAATATATATTACTGATATATCAATTATATAGATAAAATCATTCTGCTCATAAAATTGTGAAATATAATCTTACTATCATTATTTAATTTAATATCAACAATTTTAGTACGATAATTATAAGGATTATTTATTTTTATTTCATATTTTAATTATTCTATCCATATTTCCATGAAACTGTAATAATCAATGATTCTTTGCTTAGATGTCTGCTAAAATAAAGTTAAAAATATACCTGCTACCCTGAAGTTTATTGAATACCTTTGGGTGCAAATTTTATTGTATTGATTTTTAAAAAATGGAATCAACTAAAAAAAAAAGACATCTGTTACATATTGACAGAGTACTATCGTATGAATTATTAATGTTAATTTTAACTGAACACATTATTTAAAATAATCAATCCTGAATAAGTAATATGTAAGTATTTTATATAAAATATTATCTCAACGGGTCCGGTTATTGACAGACCATTTCACGCTTTTAAAACAGATGCAGTGAAAGTTGGTTGCGATATATAAAGTTCATTTTTTATACACTTCACTGCACTACTATAATGTTGTAATTAAACCGTAATATAGAACATAATTTATTGAATCACAATAACTATATATTTCATAAATTAATTTCACCAATTACCTAATTTATTTATTAAGAAATAGCGCCAATGTACTAAACAAGGATCGACCAAAGACTATCTAACGTAAATGCAAACGCAGTGCTGCCAATAGCAATGCTTTTTCCCCGGGCGCCGTGACTTCTTTTATAGGATAGGCTATAACATGTGGTACTTTATGCCTATTTGATTTTCGTCATCTTGGCGCTGACCGTCGCTGTTAGTGGCAGTGGTGAGAATTTGAACTAATAATACAGATAGAAATATCTGACATAAAGTACATCAACAGACGCGTTTAGATCTGAGCTAAGTAAAAGTTGTTATTTCCAAGCCAAATACCTATCCATTTATACAAATTATAGATCCATTATTGCCATTCTCAATTGGGAAGAAACGAATATCGATTTTAATTCTTCGTGTTCAAAATTCTAACAATTTATAGAAGCCAAGTAGAAATTATTGCAACTTAACCCGCGACTTCGTCCGCGTGAAATTTGAAAGTTCAGAACTTATGTTCGCCCTTTTATTCAACCTATTACCAAAAGTATTAACTTTTTTGTAATCAGCGTAATAACCTACCGATGCAAGATTCCAAATTTCTAAGCCCGGTAGCTTGTAAGCTGATTTTTTCGTTACCCTTATTGTTTGTGTTCGCGATATCTCCTAAACTATTAATCGAATTTAAATACTGTAAAGGACAATTTTATTCTAACTACATTAAATTATCCTGATAACAAACGCATTTATTTGGATGAGGATTAATATTGAATAACCAGTAAAAGAACGCCGCAAAAAGCATGCGGTTTTTAATGCATTTTGTAAACAAAAAAAGTGGTTATTGTAAGAAAACCGTTAAAGATAGATATATGCTATCGCGGACTTTTCTGTATAGCTTTTTGAGATCCACAATTCTTTAATACATCATTTTTATATACCTCTAACGGATTAGGCAGCGTAAGCCGAAAAAGGCGGCGTTTCTGGAAACACGATGTTTATTAATAATTGATAAACATTAGTAATAAAAAAATAGCCTATGTTACTCACAGATAAATTACCTTCCTGATGGTGAAAGAATTTTTAAAATTCACCCAGTAGTTTTTGAGTTATTTCAATACATACAAAATACAAAAATACAAATTTTTTCTCTTTATTATGTTAGTATAGATATAGATATAGTAGTATAGATTAGTATTTTATTTCAATTTTTTTATTCCCGATTCAAATCACTGCTAACCTACGTTTATTTTTTATTTTAAAAAGATATTCTGGGATTCGTATTTACAGTCCAACAATTTATAAGTGAATATGTTAGAGAAAAACAGCTACCTGTTTACTGCAGATTTTGAAAATCCATAGTATCTGCTGCGGACGTAGATTTTAGATTTGTTATAAACCGTAAATTTTTCACTACTCTTTAGTTTGTTTTAGTAGCGAATAGCGAGTAGCATGAAACAAAAATGTACTGAGAATTCATATTAGTTTTTGCACGGATTGAAGAAATATCAAGAAAGGTTAACTTATTACTAAAGTTTTTTTGTTATTAGTATTAAAACACTACGATAATATATACGAAAAAAGTATGTCACTTTCGATCATGAATTTAAAAATGTTCTTTTTGATTGAAAACATTGGTTGCCAAGGTTATTTCCTTGATATTTCGTTAAACCACTTTAAACTTTTAGACTGTCACAATGGATATTTACATAATATTATGATACATATTTGTTGTTTGTTATATTTAATTTATCAAAAGAGTCATTAATTTAAGTCTACCGTTTGAAATATATCAGTAATTTCAAGAATATTGTGTAGACCGGTCAAAGATGAACGATACAAGACGCCGCTCAACCCTGACCTTGCCAGCAATAGAAACGATCCAGAGAAACGTCCGCCAAGTGCCTACGTCTTACATAAGGTATCAGTTATGTTTCCTAGGTACAATCACGGAAATCGGTATTGTAGTACCGACCTCATTTCGTAGACACATTTAAAAGCTGCGTCCTATTGGTTAATGTTCCGCATCGTCTTAATGCGTAGACAGCTTTTAAGGAGGAACACTGCCGGATTCCCCAACTGTACTTAGATTCAATTGTTTTTGTATAAGAGAAGAAAATACAGTTCATTGTTCACTCTATAATCTACAAGAGACATTAGTTACTATGTTTTTGCTATAAAATTGTTTTTTCTGTCAATATCTTCGACTTTTCCCATTAAAACGTGATTTAATTGTAAATATCATCCCACTTCCCCCTATTTGAATTATATTTCATTTTATAGGAAGCCACGAGATATTCCGTTCCACTTACCGCACAGGAAATTGTTGGAAAAGATTGAGTTTGTGGAAAAGGAACCGGAACCTTTGGTAAACTAATAGGAGTTTCTATAAATATACATAAACATACTAAACAAAAATATAGTTTTATCTTAGCGGCCGAATACTGAAACGGATCTTAAACACTTCGCCGATTACAGACGTCAAAGTTTTAATGGAATTTGCATTTTAGGCGTGGCTTTAAATATTAGAATTTCGTTTCACTATTTGGTCATAAGACTAATAAAACTAACGTTCCAACCTGAATTTAAATAAATTTCCTCATTACACGCGTGGCCTATGATCACACATTTAAGTCGAATTTCAACGCAATCTTTGAATTTAAGGAGAAGATGTAAAAATATTTTAGAAATACTCAATAGTAATCATCCGTGCTCCCCTTCATCGAAAACTTTTGCACGTATGTTTATTAATATGATAGTAAGATTAGTCACGTAATAATTTCCTTAGACTGGCTTCGCTGCAGCGCAAGAAGAAAGATACTTGAGAGAGAGAAGAAGTACTAAGATTCAATTAGAACCAATAAAGCATGAGGAAGGTGCGACGCTTTCATTGTCTTTATTCAATTTCTTTACAAGAAACGAAATAAAAATTATTCGACCTCCCTTTAATATCAGCTATATATAAATATTATATTGTTTAGTCAAGAAAAAGAAGGCAATTAAGATACGGGAGTCGCGGAGCAGCATGGACGTGGAAAGGAAAGAAGAACAGACGGAGGACCCGCTGAAGTTGAAGCCCCAGGTGGCGTCGCAGAAGGAGGTGATAGACCAAGTGCGCGCCAACCCCCAGTGCGGCTTCCTCTACATGATATATGCTGTTCATCCACAGAATGTATACTTCACACCATACTACTTGAAGTACGTTTATCAAAATTAAAAAAAATAATAATTTGAAATACCAAAAATGGTTTTCTGTACATCATTATAATTAACATAATTTTGTCTCAGAGTTGTTAAGTACGACGAGCTAGATAGGAAGAATTATTTCACAATAAGCCCGTGTGGTGTGACGCACTACACCAACGAGATGGTGTTTACCAAGCTCAAGGACTGGGAACAGGAGTACACTGTATTCGTGCAGCTACACGAAGTTAGTATATATGTAAACACATAACTAACCTCACTTTGAGGAGAACAAACCTCAAACTATACGTCTAGAACAATATGGTTTGGTAGTACAATATCATAATCAACATAATAAAACTTTCTTCTATCAGTGCAAATAATAAGCGTTTATATTCTTGAAATAATCGATCAATTTATGTTTGTATACAGATAACATTTTTTAAAGTATACCGTTACTGGAAAGCGTTATACGTGTGGCACAAGTCAGTCCGATTCCGCAAGTACAGTCGGCTGCGCAACGTGCTGTCGCGCCATCTTTTCATACTGACCCCGCCGCTGGCGCGG